CTCTCTCTCGATGTCTCTGTAGCCTTTGGTGCCAACCTTCCCCCCTGGCATGTCTTAGTCTCCAAGCAGAGCTGGAGGCTAACTGCCATGGACTCTCACTGACTCAGTTTACTCATTTGGCTCCCTCTGGCCACTGAGCAAGTGGCCTGTGTTTGGTGGAGGGATGGGATACTCCTGTTGAACTCTCAGTAGGGTCAAGATACAGCCAGAGGGCTGCCATCTGTATGGACAAGCCCACCTAAAAGCAACGGCATAAAAACCAAAGCCTGAGTCTCTGCCACAGGAAGATTTAAACTCCCCCCAAAGTAGAGAAATGACAGAGTTAACCTCTGTGTGTTCACGGCTGTTTGCAGCATCCTTACATCTCTCTTTCCCACCACGGGAGCACGTTCATGGAAACCCAAACTGTGCTGTAATTAAACGACAGGCCCACTTTCTAATTTTGATTTTATTTTATATTATTATTATTATTAGGCTTCTCTGAGACAGGGTTTCTTTGTGTAGTTTTCGTGCCTGTCCTGGATCTCGCTCTGCAGACCAGGCTGCCCTTGAACTCACAGAGACCCGCCTGCCTCTGCCTCCCGAGTGCTGGGATTAAAGGCGTGCACCACCGCTGCCCAGCACCGTTGACTCTTAAGTATCACTCCATTCCACCTCTCCCCCCCTCTTCAGTCTCTTCTCCACACAGAAACCCAGATAATGCAGATCAGATCCTGCCGTTTCATGGCTTTCCCCTGGATGCAGACTAAGGCGCAGAGGCCTGCAAATGGTTCCGGAGACCCCGTGTGTTTAAACTGGCCTCCGCCCACCTACCTAGCCTATTACTCTGACTTGGCTCTCTATTCTCTGGCTACCCCTGGCTTTCTCCTTCTGTTTTTTGTTCCTCCCTCAGGGCCTTTGCAGAAGCCAGTCCTTACCTTTGATCATCTCCCCCAAATCTTAGGGCAGCAGGCCACGCCACTATCTGGGCTCAGTCCGAGATCCGTCCTCAGAGATGAGGTTGAGCGTGGTCACCCCACTCTCTTTAGCTCTTGCTTATTATGCTGACGATGACCCGAAACTACCACGTTAGCTAGGTATGTGGTGCATGCCTATAGACCCAGCACTTGAAAAGCTGAAGCCGGAGAATTGCCGCAAGTTTGAGACGGGGTCATCCAAGGCTACCTCACAAGACCCAGTCTCAACAAACAGGGGTGGGGGTGGGTGGGGGGCAGGGGAGATCACGTTTATCTAAGTGTTAATGGCTCATCAGATGTTAGGTCCCATAGTAATCAGTAAGTATATAGCTGAAGTTTTCTCTGGTTCTGCCCAGCCCCATGGACACCCCCCCCCACCCGGAGGCGCTCACAAAATAATCACTCAGAAGCCTTATATTAATTAAAACTGCTCGGCCATTAGCTCAGGCCTACCACTGACTAGCTCTTACATTTAAACTCAGCCCATTTCTGTTAATCTATATGTTGCCATGTGTTCCGTGGCTTTACCTGTGTGCCATTACACGCTGCTCCCTGAACGTCAGGCTACCGTCTCCTGATTCAACCTTCATCTCCCAGAATTCTCCTTGTCTGCTTAACACGCCTATACTTCCTGCCTGGCTACTGGCCAATCAGCATTTTATTTATCAGCCAATCACAGCAACACATTCACAGCATACAGAGCAACATCACCCATCATAAGTACACAACACACAATGAATGACCGAAAGGAAAATATAGAAACAACCTATGGGCACAAACTCTAAAGCTAAGTGGAGAACTAACGCCCAGTTCTCACGTGCAGGTTACTGTCTAGACAACAACAGGGAACTGGTGTTATAAAGTTCACTGGAGTCTTCTTCCCAAGGTCTCAGCATCAGGGTGTGCTGGGCCTCGAACCACGAAGCTTATGGCTTACACTGGGCTCCAGGGAGGGACCGCAGGGACACATGAGACCTGCCTGGGGAGTTGGGGGGGGGGGCAGGTCCTCAGGCTGCTTGAGATTGTCACCTAGACTCAGGAAGCCCAGGAGCTAGACTTGGAGGAGAGGTAAAGACTGGACGAACCTGTTCTGAGAAATCCCCCGAGCCCTGCAGACCAGGTTGGCCTGCCGTTCTAAGCGGAAGGGGTTCCAGGGAGAACTAGCAAAATGTTTTTCTGTGGGAGCTGAGGTAGGGGAGTCTCTCATCTTAGGCTTTGGATTTGGGCTTCTCTCCGCCCTGCCTTTGCACACTCTTGGATTTCCTAGACCAGCCCAGAAGGAGGGAGGGGAAACTCCAGTTCCTTTTTTTTTTTTTTTAATTATTTTTATTTGTGCATCTGCATTTGTGCGTGCGTGCATTTGTGTGTGTGTGTGTGTGTGTGTGTGTGTGTGTGTGTAGGGGGATGCCTGTGCCTGTGAGTATGTGGAGACCAGAAGAGGGCCTTAGATCCCCTTTGGGATGAATTAGAAGTTTGTGTAGACTGTGAGCTTGTTATGTGGATGCTGGGATCTGAACTCTGGTCGTCATGATTGTGCAGCAGGCACCATCGCCAGCCACCTCTCCTTGAACAACGGCACACAGCCAACCACTACCATCAGTCTCTTTTAATTCTTTTGCTATCCCCATTCTAGAGAAGGCACACCAAGGCTCCATAAGGTTGTAGAGTTGCCCATGCTCAGACATCTAAGAGGGGAGCTGGGAGTGATGAAGTCTGCCTGGCACAGAACACTAGGCTTTAGTCGGGTAGGTGTTCTTCATCCCTTTCCTGGGATCTAGGGAGCCCTCCAATAAATAGGTCCACAGAGAACTGGTAAGTTCCGTCAGGCCTTTGGAAAAGCGGTGCCCGGCTGGACAGACGGTCTTCTACCACACGGTGGCGCTGCGTCCCCGCCCCAGAAGGTTTTCTTTGCAATGGCGCTTGGGCACCAGCTATTAATTGATTGGGGTTTCATCCTCAGCCTGCAGGGCCACCTGGGCTCCCTCGGTAGCTTTAACGTGGACTCAGACCATCTCCCAGCATCCCCCAAAACAACGCCAGGAAAAGCAGCGAGTTGCTCCCACAGACTATGTTAGCCAATCAAAGGCTTGGGAAAGAAGACCCGGATTTATACAGGAGCGTCCCAAGTTCTGAGGACCCAATTAGCAAATAAGACGACGCCCAGATTTTCTTCCCGTGTCTCCATCTGCCGACCACAGGATATGTCCGTGGGCCACTTGAAATGGTTCCCGTGTGTGTTCTCCCTGCACCTACCATTTGGGGAAATACCCATTTATTTTACCATCTGTTTTATATCTGATGACCATGGACCCAGGCTGGGACTTAGCCCTTCTAGAGTCTCATCAAAACCAACTTCCCGTCAACGAAGCTTGAAGCCTTTTTTCACAGCCCATACTACATCTTCTAGCGAGCTTTAGCGGCTTCCCGATAGACTTGGCCTGTGATCTGAAGTCAGACTATAAAGTTGGGTAGGAAGCTTAGTGTTAGAGCCTGGAGTGCTGTATGCAAGGCCCTAGGTTTGAGTGCCTGGTGCTGGAAGATGGGCGTGTAGGTCTAAGTGTATCTGAAGGCAAAAGCCACAGCTTTCTTCCTAGAATAGGACCCCCCACCCCCGCCCACGGCATCCTCGGCCGCTTAGCCTGGAAGAGGGTATCAAAGCTCCCTGGAGAGCAAGTGGTGATGGGAAAGAGAGATGAAGAACAGGACAGGGGACTTTAGGAAGGGTGGCAGAGGGCAGGCGCTGCTAAGGACATTTACTCGATTTTATAGTTCTGCCTTTCTCTAAGTCTCTAGACTGAGGGCTGACATAGAGAGTCCCCTTTGGACATTTTTGCCCCTCCCCCCCATATGGAATTTTCATCCTGTATCCGGGCCTGGTGGCTCATTACCCATAATTTCAGGACTTGGGGTGCTGAGAGGGCAAGACCCTGTTGCAAAAAGCAATAGTAAATAAATAAGAAATATTTTTAATTCACCAGCTGGTTGCATAAATATTTAAATATTTTGATTTTTATATTTAAAATACCATTTTAAAAAGATGTGGTTATTTTATTTTTGTGGGTGAATGTTTGGGTTGCATGTATGTATGTGCACCATGTGTGTACAGTGCCTGCAGAAGTCAGAGAAGAGTGTGTCGTGTCCCCTAGGATTGCAGACGGTTGTGAGCCACCATGTGGGTGTTGGAAACTGAACCTGGGCCTTCTGCAAGGGCAGCCAGTGCCCTTAACTTCTGGGCCATCTCTCCAGTCCCTTAAAACGTAACTTTTCATTTAGTAGGCAATGCAATGGACAGATTCAGAATTCAGTGTTTAAAATAGGTATCTTTGGTGCGGTTTGTTCTTGTGTTTGCATTTAATATATAAACACACAGGGCCAGGGATGTAGTTGGGTTGGTAGAGTCCTTTTACGGCCAGCACCGCATAGAACTGGGCACAGTGGTGCGCACTTGAAATCTCAGTACTCAGATGGAGGCAGAAAGATCAGAAGTTCAAGGTCAGGGGCCGGAGAGATGGCTCAGCAGGTAAAGGTGCCAAGACTGCCAAGACTGAGTTTGATCCCTGGGGCTCACGTGGTGGAAGAAGAGAATTGAGGCTGGAGAGATGGCTCAGAGGTTAAGAGCAGTGACTGCTCTTCCAGAGGTCCTGAGTTCAAGTCCCAGCAACCACATGGCGGCTCACAACCATCTGTAATGAGATCTGATGCCCTCGTCTGGTGTGCAGACAGAACACTGTATACATAATAAGTAATAAAAATCTCAGAAGAAGAAGAAGAAGAAGAAGAAGAAGAAGAAGAAGAAGAAGAAGAAGAAGAAGAAGAAGAAGAAGAGAGCTGCCTCCCGAAAGTTGACCTCTGACCTTCACGAGTGCATTGTGGCGTGTTTGCATCCCTCCCCTCAAAAAAGCAAATACATATTTTAAAAGTTCAAGGTCAACCAGGAGCAGTGGTGCACACCTTTAATCCCAACACTCCAGAGGCAGAAACACACACACACACACACACACACACACACACACACACACCCCACACAAACATTTTGTAAATGGTGACAAGAAAAAGAGCAATTCTGCTATCCGTGTGACTGTCCAGTGCATTTCTGAATACACCTATGCAGGGGATCCTGCCTTCCAAAGAGTTCTGTAGGTTTGTTGTGGAGACCCCAAGGTGATCATTGATGCCAGAATTAACAAAGGTGCCTAGACCCAAGCAATAAAGAACATCCCATGCCATATCCACATGTAGTTGCCTAGGAGACACAATAAAGTCTAAGTCACTAAATGAAGTCTACTCTAGCGGCCAGTGTCCTCATTCTCACGTGCACAAAATCTAGACAGTCATGTGGATGAAACAGCATGGATGGTCAAATAAAGTTCCAAACCCTTGGGAGAAGGGACGATGATACTCAGCCTGCACACCAGAGAACCATGTCAAGACAAGCCGGAGGCTGTTTGGGCAAAGGGAATAAGGTTCCTTCACGTGTAAGATGCTGTCTCCCAGGGAAATGGAAGGAACCTGGTTGCCCCTGTGGGCTGCTTCTCATGCTGGAACCAGCAGGGGGCAGCATTGCCCCTCCTCACAAGACAATGCGTAGGACTTGAGAAAAGGTCTTTGCTGAGTTGCCCTCCACGTTCCCGAGTCCCTGGACCAGAAGAGATCAGGAGAAGGAGGGGTGCTAAGTGTCTAGGAAGAAAAGGACTTGGAAAGAGAGTGAAAACCCTGTCCCGCTTCTCAAAAACAAAGCAACAACAAAATCCATACAGATCAGCTTGGGGGGGGGGGGTCCCTGGTGTGCGAACACAGGAGGACCCACGCTTGAGTACTCAGGGTGAAGGGTGGCCATGTCCTTTTCTGCCACCACCATATCTTATCCGTCTGGGAGGAGGTAGTTTGGGGTCCAGAAGGCCAGGACCTCATCTTCAGTTGGACAGACCAGTGGGAGATCCTTTATTTGTGTGTATGCAGTAGGGCTGGAAATTTAATCCACACTTCAGCTCATCTGTGTAGAGAAAGGAAAAAAAAAAGGAACATCCTTATTTATTAATTTATAACCAAACTGACCTTTCTCCCAACCCCTCCATAATGATTAGTGAGAAAAACAATTAAATGTTCAATGTGATTTAAACGTCATGGGACCTGACAACTTAGCCTGTCCCCTGGAGCAATCTTAACTCTCTTACATAAAAGCGCTTAGCTCTCCGGCCACTCTCCACGGTTTTCCTCACTGACATGGTGTTAGGATTTGTGGGGACAACTGAGTGACATCTGGCAAGAGGAAGGAGTTGGGGTTCTGGGGGTTGTGGTGACTGCCGATTTCCCAGCCGGCACTGCTCTCACCCCTGACCACTGATACGCTTGAGCTGAGTTTACATAACCCGTGGTCCAGTCCCCCCCTGGGATGGCCGGAACCCCACTGAACCCGGGTCCCTTGTTGCCTGTGGAGTTCCCTTGCCGGATTGCTGTGTCCTCAGTTCGGCAGTCAGGCCTTGTGGGAGTTGAAGCTGGCTTGTGAACATTGCATTTCTGAGGCTCCTCTGCCCTGCTCTGGAGCCCTGTGGTCACAGGCAGAGGCCAGGGTGGTTTGGAGCAGCTGGGAGGCTGCTGCTTTTTTTTTTTTTTTTTTTTCCCCAGAGTTCCAAGAGAGGTCAGGAACATGGACCATCTCCAGAGTGGACCCAGTAGGCCAGATGTGATCATCCTATTACCTCCCTCCTATTCCCTTCCACCATCCCCCATGTCCATAGACAGGAGAGGACCAAATGCTTTCTTCTCTGGCCTGGGCATCTATTACATAAAACTTCACGGTCACACCCAAGGAGACAGAGGCAGGAATCCAGAAAATATGCTCTCCAGAGAACAGGCTGTGTAACGGACTGTTTTTTAACTTGGTGCCAAATATTGCAGCATCTCTCTTTTCTATAACAAATTCCAGTCCTATTCAGGGATGGATGTCTCAGGCCAGTGAAGATGAGGGCCGTGGGGTCCTCATCAAGGCAAAAGAGAGAAAGAAGCGCACTCATAAAATCTCTGTCTCCAGTATGCTCAAAATGCTAGCACTCTGGATAGCAGAACTTACAGATATGGATACACTGTAGGCTCCATCCATGGAGGGGGGACGACCCCACTCCCTTGCTGATTTAAGATCTGCCCTTCCTAGGGAGGATGCGTTCAGTGTGGGTCAGGGCCTACTCAGATGGGGAGGGAGTTGTGGAGACATCCCCTTTGAAAAGATGGCCTAGCTGATTAGGAATTCTCCATGGCAGTGGCAGGTCATGTGGTCGTGAGATGAAAGGATGCGATTGGTGGACTCTTATGTCTATGTCCACTGGATGAGAGATGATACGGGCAGTTCAGCCAACCAAGGGTCTGGGAAAAGGCTGCATGGCAGGTACAGCCCATTGCCTCGCCTTGGTGCTGAGGGACAGGTAACTCATGCTGTGAGATGTTGTCTCCCACAGCCCACTGGAAGGGGGTCACTCTGGGTAGGGCTAAAGCAGGTGGCTATGTTTGTGGGTGCTCCATAGCCAAATGTGTGCTCAGTCATTCATACCCTTGTGAATGTGTGTGTGTGTCTGTGTAAATACCTATAGAATTCTCAGTGTCTGTTCCACAAAACACACAACAGTGCCAGCACTTTTTATTATCATTGGCTATACCGACACTCCCAGAAACACAGATACCCAGACGTATTCACCATTCCTAATCAAAGACATACAGATACCATATACTTTTACACCAATGGCCAGTTTTATGTCAACTTAACACAAGCTAGAGTCATCAGAGAAGAGGGAGCCTCAGCTGAGAACAAAAAAATGCCTCCATAAGATCAGGCTGTAGACAAGTCTGTAGGGCATTTTCTTAATTAGTGACTGATGGGGAAGGACCCAGCCCATTGTGGGTGGTGCCATCCCTGGGCTGGTGGTCCTGGGTTCTATAAGAAAGCAGGCTGAGCAAGCCATGAGGAGCAAGCCTGTAAGCAGTACTCCTCCACGGCCTCTGCATCAGCTCCTGCCTCCAGGTTCCTGCCCTGCGTGAGTGCCTGTCCTGACTTCCACTGATGATATAGAAGCATAAGCTGAATAAATCCTTTCCTCCCCAAGGCTCTTTGGTCATGGTGTTTCATCACAGCAATAGTAACTCTAACTAAGATAACCAATATGTACACCTGATTCCATACCCAGGGATGCGGAGATACACAGGCCCATGTAATAATTATACCTAATATCTATCGGGAACTTATTACCCTGGAGACATTATATAACACTATAAAGAGATTAAGTGGCTTAATCTTGACAACAGTGTCACGAGTTAATGATTATTATTTGCCACACTTAACAGATGGGTGAGTGGACACAGAGTTAATAATTGGTAAACTTGCGATTCAAGTCCAGACTGTCTGGTTTCGGAGGCAGCAGATGTAGCCAGTGTCTCTCTTCTGCTGTCTTGCTCATAGGCACTCACGGTTTTGTAATAGGCTTAGGCACAGAGTTGTACACAGGTGTCTGTTCTCTTGTGGGGCTTCGGGCAGAGGCCAGGTCTCGGACTTCAGGTAGTTAGGTTAGACTTTGGCCTTGGAGGATCTCAGGGCCACTGGCCTCTTCCCCACTGCATCCTAGCTGGAGGCTTTCAAGTTCCTTGAGCTTCCAGAGGCTTGGTGGGACATAGGAAGTACTTCTGGACTGGAACCCCAGAACCCCATGGCTTGTAGGTCACCGAGAGTCCTCCCACCTCTGCCAGCTGTTCACCAGTGTGCCATCTAAAGTGGCCCCCCATGCTGGAAGGAAGCACTTGTCTTGGGGTCCAGATTATCTGTCGCTGTAGCCTTGAGGGTCTGAGACACACATGTGCTCCTGGCCGTGGACACACCTTGGCTTTTCTGGCCTCAGAGAGGTGGCCATTGCTGCCATCTCTTCAGTTCAGCTCCCTCATCCCTATTCCTCTTCTCACCAAGGGAGGGACAGGTCCTTCCTACCTCCGTTTTGTTAAGAGAAGACTAGAGTTTCTCAGAAACGAGTCTTGGAGGCCGGGAGGGAGAGGAAACACACCCCGGACTGCACAAACAAATCCGTGGGGGAGCCTCGATCTCCACCCATTCTCACTGGGCTTCACCATGTGGAGGCTCCCAGCATGCACTGGGGCCTGGCTCTAGACCTGGGGCCTTCAGAAGACCTGAGGTCCTCTGGTGCAAGTCAGGCTTTGGGGCAGCCTCAGACTTGCTTAGCTCTGCTGTGTCCCCTTCCCATGGCCCAGGCCATTCAGACTTGGCCAGTGGAGCAGCGGCTGCCCGAGAAAGTAGCCGGGTTCAGCATGCCGCTTCATCGAGGCCCCTCCCTGGTCTCCTCTGGTCAACCCAGCGCTCCCTCTGGCCTCAGCGAGTGCTCACCTTCTCTTCTGTCTGTCGAAGCCCTTTGGACACTCATGTCATCAGTTTAAGGGAAACTCAGTCCTGATGTCTCCGTACTTAGATGTTATAAATCAAGTTAATTGATTTCACATGACACGAGCCAGGGATGGCGGCTCACATTCATAGATCAGCACTCAGGAGGCCGAGAATGGCGGGACTCAGTGAGTTTAAGGGCAATGGAGGTTGTACAGTGACATTCCTCCCCACACCCATCTCAAATAAATAGATGGATGGATGGATGATACATAGATAGATAGATAGATAGATAGATAGATAGATAGATAGATAGATAGATAGATAGATAAAAAGTGAGGGAGATGGCTCAGTGGCCTGATGACTTAAATTCCATCCCAAGGACCCACAGTGTGAGGACAGAATCAAGTCTGGAAATTTGCCCTCTGACTGCCTTGGTATATGTACCCCCAAATAATAGCTAATAAGTTAAAAATGGAAAAGAAGCCACATGTGGTGGTACACACCTTTGATCCTGGCTCTTGGAGGCAGAGGCAGGCAGATCTCTATGAGTTCAAGGCCAGCCTGGTCTAATGAGTGAGTTCCTGCCCAGCCAGAGCTACACAGTGAGGCCATGTCTTTAAATAAATAAAGACAAAAAGAAAAATAAGGGAAAAAAATGTAATAAAAGCCATAAAGAAAGAGATGAAATCAAAACGGCATAATTGAAAATACATATAAAGTGATGAGTTTTATTTTTGGTTGTGAGCCTAGCCTTTAACAGCTGAGCCATCTCTCCAGCCCAAGTGATGACTTTTAGATGAATGAACATATGTAAGATATAGAAGATGGCAAGATTTAGTTACTAAGAATATAAAGGTTGTGATTATGGGCAGTGATATTTGGACAAGTCATAATATATATATACATAATTATATATAACATATATTATTATATAATGCATATACAATAATATGTGTATAATATATATAATTTATAAATTAGCACATAGTTCTCTTCTAACTCCAGTTTCCTTCAGTGCTAGTAAAATTGCTAATCATGTTTTTGTAGGTAGGAACTCATAATTTGCATTCTAGTGATAGGAATGAACTGAAGCACAAACACTAAGATAAAGCTGTATTTGAGGCTGTTTTGATTATGAGTTCCTGCATAGCAAATTGCTCCCCAACTTGGTGGTTTAAAACAACCTCCATGCAGTGATGGGGGGGGGGGTCAACCCAAATGAAGGGTGTAAGATGTCTTAAGGAAGCCTGTAACTTTGCATGCTAATTTTAAAAATGAGAGGCTGGAGAGATGGCTGTGTGGTTGAGAGCATCTATAGAAGATCTGAGTTTGGTTTCTAGCATCCAGGTCAGGCAACTCACAAGCCTCTAGAACTCCAGCTCCAGGGAATCTGATGCCCTCTTCTGGCCTCCTTGGGCCCTCACACTTACATGTGCACACCCATGTGAAGACACACACATACACACACACAATTTTTAAAAAATCTTTCAAAGTGAATAAAGAACAAAGAAAAAAATTGGAATTTGAAACAAAACCAGAATAGCCACCATTATTTATCTCTTGTGGTGCTGGGAGCCCAGTGGGCTGATTGGGGAGGGCATCTGCCACTGTTCTTGCTTGGGAGTCTCAGGCAATCGTGGTTAGGGAAGGGTGTCTGGGATCGTAGGAGGCTGGCTGGACCGAAGGCGGGCAGCACTGGCCTTTTCCCTCTCCCCGGGATGTCTGTGGACCTCTCTGTAATGGAGCAACTGGCTTCTCCAGTGAGGTAGCTGGAAGTCTTGCAAGGTGCTCACGACTCCCAGAAGTGAGTGCTTAGGAAGGGGAAAGCGGGAGCTGGCAGTATTCTGAAAGAGTGCTTCCAAACTTAAGCAACTTATTTCCAGCACATTCCATTTGTTAGCATGAGTCACAGGCCAGCTCAGACTCACTCACTGGGGAAGGAGTACACAGGACTGAAACAATGAAGTGTTCTCTGGGGCATTCTTGGGAAGGCTGGTACCTCTAGGCTGGATGCGGTGATGGAGAGAGAGAGAGAGAGAGAGAGAGAGAGAGAGAGAGAGAGAGAGAGAGAGAGAGAGAAGACAACGGAAACCTGTGGCCTTTGCTTTGGGGGCCTTCAGAAGGCAGAAGCTGAGGAGCGTTGAGGAGAACATGGTTGGAGTCCTGGGACCCAGGAGGAAATCTGAGAGAAGGACGCCTGAGATCATCACTGGCCGACGTGAGGCCATGGCCTTCACTGACATGGCAGGAGAGAGCATCCTGTCTAAAGCAATTTCCAAGCAACCCAGTGGAAGGGCCCTGGAGCTTCTCCGAGCTGACTTTGTCGGGCGGAAGAGTCATGACCGTGAACTAAGGAAGGCGCTGTTCCACTTTGGAGCAGAACTGAGGAAATCTAAGGAGGTAGTCATGCTGCTCCAGCTGAAGGCTCTCAACGGAAGAACAGGCTTCAGGGCAAAGGCACACGTCGGGGTGCTGCCAGTAAACTGTGGGCTGAGATGCAGAGGAAGCCAAGGGTGTGGCTGTAATCCTTCAGTAATGCCTCAGTAACACTCAAGGGCATGGCTTGGAGGCCTCGTGGGTAGAAGCAAGGCTTCTGAAGACCTCTCAGATACTGTCTTAGCTCTACTGGACAGCACGGCTTCTAAGGACGTCAACGGGCCCCTTCCTGGTGGCTTAAGTCAAGATAAGCCCTAAAGTAAATAAATAAATGGTTGTGGCTTTTGCCTAATGGCGGAAGTTAGAATGTGATACACAAAAGCTTACAGGAGCTGGAGAGAGGGCCCAGAGGGTAAGAGTGTTTATGGTCTTGTAGAGGATCCGAGTTCCTTCCCCATCACTCACATTGGGCATCTCGTGGCCTCTGGTTTCTCCAGATGCGGGGCATCGTCTACTCTCTTCTGGCCTCCATGGTACTGCACTCACAGGCGGATGCCCCTCCACACATTTACACATAGTTAAAAACTGGGGGGGGCGGGGAATGGGAAGCCCGCAAAGTTTTAAAAATAAGTTGGCCGGGCGGTGGTGGCGCACGCCTTTAATCCCAGCACTCGAGAGGCAGAGCCAGGCGGATCTCTGTGAGTTCGAGGCCAGTCTGGGCTACCAAGTGAGTCCCAGGAAAGGCGCAAAGCTACACAGAGAAACCCTGTCTCGAAAAACCAAAAAACAAACAAACAAACAAAAAATAAGTCTACAAGTTGGACCAAAAGACGTATAGCTCAAATAGAGAAGCCTCTTGGCGGCAGCTATTAGTTATTTCTTATGAAAAGGAAGGACAATTCTCCTGGTTTGCTCTCTGTCCCAAAGCAGCTTGGAGGAGAGAGCATTGACTTGGCATGGACACCTTGAGTCCAGTCCCGTCCATCACCGAGGAAAGCCAAGGCAGGAACCCAAGCAAGACAGCACCCTGACGCGAAATGAAGCCGGGACCTTGGAGGAATGCTCGTCCCCGTGGCTTGCTCAGCCTGTTTCCTTACAATCCAGGACCACGTTCCCCGGGGGGTGGCACTGCCCACAGTGGGCTGGGCCTTTCCAGGTCAACTATTAGTCAAGAAAGTGCCTGCAGGCTTGTCTATGGGCCAGTCTGATGGAGGCAATTCCTCCGTGGAGATTCCATCGGCAGAGATGACTCCAGCCTATGCCAGGTTGACGAAAAGCTAGCCAGCACAATAATGAAGGGTTTGGAGCCAGGAAAACACTTCTGGAAGAGAGAAAGTAGACCTAATGAAGGAGTTGGTGGCGTGTGTGTAGCTGGGTTACAGGCTTGCTCTTCCCTTTGGGAGGCGAGTACCCACTATGTTTCCATTGTGCCTGCCTGCCCCACTGTTGTGCCATGAATGTGGGAAAATAACTCGTCTCTTAGCTCACAAACCTTAGGACCAAGAAGAACCATGCCTGAAGGGTTGCGTGTGCACCTATACCCCACTTAGATGCTTAAGTCTTGGTTTTGGAACTTGAGTCCGAGACCGTTTAATGACCTTGGGGGTTCTTGGTGGGCAGGTGGATTTGCACATTAGAGGAAGGTGATTCACTGGGATCAGACATGGGTAATTGGTCTTCAAAGACAACCCCCTTCAACACTACTTCTTGCTATTAGCCACTTGTGTGGTCCACTCCTTTAAATCTGGGTTGTCTCTGTGACTTACTTTGGACCCACAGAAGCAGTGACCATGATGCTACACGCCTTCTGAGTATCGGTCATAAAAGGCTCTTGGTTTCTACCTGGGGTCTTAGAATAGTCACCGTAGGCTGAGTGGTGGCGATGTACTCATTTAATCCCAGCACTTGGGAGGCAGAGGCAGGCGGATCTCTGTGAGTTTGAGGCCAGCCTGGTCTACAGAGTGAGCTCCAGGACAGCTAGGGATGTTACACAAAGAAACCCTGTCTCAAAAACAAACAAACAAACAAACAAACAAACAGAATACTCCTGCGGGGTAGGCTAATCATCATGTTAGGAGTTTGATTCCTCAGTGAGAGAGTCAAGGCAGCCATAAGAAAGGCCACGTGGCCATAAAAATTATGCTTAAGCATACCCCGTGTGCTCCAGCCATCCCATCTGAGGCAGAGGAAAGAGGATGTAGATGCTGCCATCTTGGATGCACTATACCGTCAAGGCTGCATTTGGCTTCAGGCTTCAGGCCCTGCTGCCGCTTGATTGAATGAGAAATTCGCATCACCAAGCAACCACCTCTCACCGTCAACTGGCAGAACTGTGAAAGAGCAAAATAACTCATTGTGAGCCACTCAGGTTTGGGGCTGATTACACAGAGACGGCGAATCGGCCCAGGAACGTCACCCTATTTTAATTTTAAAACTGCAGGGTAAACTGTAAAAGATTTAAATTTAAGATTGCTTCTCATGTAAAAATGTGTGTATGCGTCTACTTGCATGGGTGTGTGCGTGTGTGTATGAGGGCCTCGTGGGGTGTCTTTCTCAGTTAGTCCCACATTATTTTTTGAGACAGAGTCTCTCCTTGAACCTGGAGCTTACTAATTTGGTTAGACCGGTTGATCATCAAATTACACGAAGTCCGATCTTTCCCTCCCTAGTGCTGGGATTCCAGGTGTCCACAGCTGTGCTACACCTGGATGCTTGGTGATGGAAGTCAGGTCTGCAGGTGTTTCCCTAGTGAACCACCTACCCACCCCTTCTCATGTACACTTTAAAAATGTTGTCTTCAGAGCCGCTGAGATGACTCACCAAGTAAAGGCGGTTTACCACCAGGCTTAAGGACCTGAGTTCGATCCCCAGAAGCCACAAGGCGGAAGGAGAGAACTGACTCCTGCAAGTTGCCCTTCGTGCTGTGGTGTGAATGCACATACACAAACCTAAAATAAATAAACAGACACATAAATAAGTGTAATAAACAATGTTGTCTTTATTGTCATCATGGCTGGTGAGGCACCATGACATGGTTACCGGTGGGTTGTAACTCATCATGGCTGGTGAGGCACTGTGACAGGAATGTGTCACCATGACTGGCCACCAGGTATTAACAGTCAGGAGGCAAAGAGCAGACAGGAGACGGGTCTGGGCCACAGAACATCAGTACCTGCCCACAGTGACCCACTTGATCAAGGATCCACCTCCTGAAGTTTCCACAACCTTCCAAGACAACCCCATTAGCTGAGGACCAAGGGTCACACATGTGAGCCTGTGGAGGACATCCAATATTCAAACCACAACATTTATCTACGAAAATTTCAAACTGGTGAGTTTCATCAAGCACATATAAAGCTCAATAAAAATGTTTAAGTGAGGCTGACTTTGAGCTTGAGTTTTGAAATTTTAGTGATACCTTAGTAGACACTTTTATAATAATAAATCATTCGCCACTGTGGTGTGGCTCCACGTCTGGTTAGTTGCCAATGTAAAGAGTCAGTCCCACGTGTCATGTGTTTGTATCTTGAGATGCGTATGTGCAAATGTAGGTGAATCATACATTATGTATCCTGGAAAATGTTCCACGCCTGTGATTTGCAAATGTAACAAACATTGGGCTAATCTCCAGTACCTGTGGAAGAAAATGTGTGTTTTACCACTATCAGGGAATACCGCTGTCACACTCTCTATTTGTGAGAAAGGACTTGACTGATAAATCCATGTTTTTTTTTTCTTTTACCCACTTCCACCCTTCAGTCTGTCCTACCGTTGCTGATGTGGGGGAGACAGCTTAATTCATGGTTCGCATAACATGCAGACTCGGTCTCCTGTTGACTCAAGGACTTCAAAGTGTCAGTCATGAGAATGGATGTTTAGAGCTGGAGACCTTGTGTGCTGAGATTGAGTGCTGGATTCCAAGGAAGACAAGAATCAACGTGCTTTTATATCACAAGTGTGCTTGTATGTGTATGTGTGTGTGCATGTGTGCACCTATGTGTGAAATGTGGGTCCTTCCACCTCTGGGAACAGAATGGGGCTTCTTCTGCCTGTTGCTTCCAGCCCGTTGTCCAAGCCTCTCTGCTTCTTTCCCGGATGTCTATGGGCCTCTGCTCCTAGGGAAATGCATTTTTTCTTCTGATTTAGTTCTTTGGCTTAAACTTGCAAGCATGGGCAACACTTTTGACATTGCGACACAGCACTGTCTACAAAATTCACACCCGAGAACCACACAGTTGAGTCACACACACACAAAAGCACCAAATATCTCATGGTGTTTTATGTAAGGTTATGATTTTGTCCTGGTCCACATTCATAGCTGTACTGCGGCACATGTGGCCCATGGGCTGTGGCTTGGCCATGTCTAGGAGAAGCATATTTCACTCATTACCCATGGGTACTAGTTGGGACTTTCTTTCTTTCTTTCTTTTCTTCTTTTTTTTTTTTTTTTTAGCTATGAGTGACCAAGACCAATTCAAATAGGCTTGTGTTAAAGGGGCATATCTAGATTCTCAGGACTGGGAGGTCAGAAAGCTAGGGCTCAAATTGCTTTTCAAGAGTGCTTGTTGAGGAGCCTTTTGATTGACAGGTAACCCCACCAGTCCTAGAGTGTATACGTGTGTAGAGGGATGCAATTCCTCCAAATAAGGGATCTGGGAAGTAGCAAGTCTTCTGTATCTCATAAGCTCCTGGGTCCCTGGGCCAGACTCCTCAAGTAGGTCAGGTGGTGGGCACCGCCTTCCTGAAGTTCTCTGCTACCTGAAGCGGATTCCTCATTTACTCCTGTTTCAAAACTTCCAGTCCTTGCCGGGCGGTGGTGGCGCACGCCTTTAATCCCAGCACTCGGGAGGCAGAGCCAGGTGGATCTCTGTGAGTTCGAGGCCAGCCTGG